TGAAAATTATGTGAAATTTGAATTTTATTGTTCATAAATAAATAATTGGAAATTAATCATATTCATTTTTCTGTTGTCCATGACTACTTTTGCACTACAGTAGCAATTTGTTAATTGGAATGCAAACTGTATGGCCAAAAAGGCCTAAAATATTTCCTCTTTGGTCCTTCACAGAAAATTTGTTCATCCCTGATTTAATGAAATAAACCTAACCACAGAATTTTTTAAAAAATTAAGCTTTTCCTTTTTTTTATTTAGCATTTTCTTATTAAGTTTGTGCACTTTCTCATAAATCTGGCAGTGGTCATTTTGCAGATACTTTCTGCATTATTACATTTTTGGTTTTTCAACAGTTTTTAGAGATTTTTCCTCTGGTGTTATTTTAAAGCTATGTCACAGTTCAGCCAGCAGAGGGTGCAAGGGCAGTAAAAAAACTAATTCTGTGACTTTGCTACAGAAACATTTTACTTTATAGCATCTTTTATCTGCTGTTTTATGTTCTTAAAAATCTAAATCTTATTAATCACTTTGAAACTAAACATTTATATAGTTCTCAGAGTGCAGAACTTCTAGCATCAAACTGAGTGGCAGATTAAGCCCTTGATCCTCTCGTCTAATCTCACATCTGTCACTTACAACCTTTGTCAACTATGAAGACATTTTAGTTCCTCTAAGCTTAAATTTCTTCATTTATGAAATGGGGATGAAAACACTTGCCCAGCTGCACTTACCACGGTAATTGAAAAGATTAGATGAGAAAGAGTATTTTTATAACTTTTTAAAACTGGAAATCACTACATAAAATGTAAGGCATTTATTTTTTATGACCTATATTTTACTAAGCAAGTACATATTGTGGTGCAATTTGCACAGTTTCTTCTTTTTAAGTAGATTTTTAGTTCCTTGAAAACAACATCTTTGTTTTGGCCATATATATATCCATCACATTTCTTAAGGCATCATAAGCTTTCAGGTATTTATTGAATCAGATAAGGAGTAAATGCATTTTGGCAGTGAATGAATCCTATCTTGTCACGTGGTTGTATGTGAAAAAAAATGCTCTATTGTAGAAAGTTTTGTTTTGTATTGAAGTTTACAGCTTTAGAAGTATAACTAAAGCTCACACATGCTCTTTAAGAAACCCTGATCGTTATGGTATATAGAACTAATTTTTCTTTGTTTTGGTTCCCTGCAGGGTGACAAGTCTGTCCGAGTCATGCGTTCTTTGCTGGCTGCACAGCAGACGTTTGTAGATCGGTTGGTGCATTTGATGAAGGCTGTACAGCGTGAAAGTGGAAATCGTAAGAAAAAGGTGTTTGCTTTTGTTTTTCTTTTGTGGTGTTTGCTTTTGTTTATGACTGGTGGTGGCTTGGCCTCATACAATACTGAGTTCTGGTTGTTGTGTCTTTGGGTTGCTATCTTATGTGAACTTCTTATCATGTAGTTATAGTAATAGGAATACTTATAAGCTCTGATTATGTGTGCATTCCTTTTTATGAGTTTACAAATACAGATATAGTATTTAAATCTTCACAACAATCCTATAAGTTAGTATCTATTATTATCTCAGTCGTGAGGAAAAAGATGCAAAGAGAGATTAAGTACTTTGTCCAGTGTCACACAGCTAGTAAATATTGGAGTTGGGATCTGTACTCAAACATGAGTTCATGTTTTTATCTACAATGCTTTGTTGCTTCTCATTTTAACATGTTAACACATTAGGATATAAGGTATTCTATATGGAAGGCACCTCCAGGGAGCATTTAGATCAGAATTCTGAGATAGTGAAGGTCCGGAGTGACTTGCCCAGGATTGCAGAACTGGTTGTTAGTGACAACCCTGGCTCTGCCTGCTGCTCTGGCTGTACCTTGATCTTTCTCTGCACTGTGAGACTTCCTCTTGATGTGTAGGAGAATATCGATTCTTCTTTTGGCATTTCTTCTGTCCAGTGGCCTAAATTGTACGAAGAACTCTCTTGGTATCTTCTCTTTTCCTAATCCCATTAGATAAGCGTCAGATCTTTCTTGATGACTTTTGTAAAACAACACAACACATGTTACCCTTATCCTTAAGACGTGGAAGGCAGAGAGAGGAAAAGATGAAGAATCGAGTCAAGTTCAGAGGCAAGGATGTGGTCTAATGAGAAATGCTAGCATAGCTGTGTCCTAGGAGTAATGTTCACCAGGTTAGAGAGGAAAATAGACTGAAGGGGAAACACATTTTATTGAGTTGGCATTTTCTTTGTTGTTGAGAGGAATCACACGTTTTAAACAAAATCCTCCTGCTTTTCCCTGGACCTTCCTCAGAGGTGCCTGTGTGGGTAGCAGTGTGATCCCAGGGCCCCCAGCAGAGGGAGTATCTGCAACTTGCATGTGCAGTTTGACACTTATGTTTGAAACTATAGGATGTTTTTCTCATGGGCTCTTCTGTTCAGCAGACACTTAAACCTCTGACTACACCTGTTTTAGCTATTCTGGAGGATCACTGCCTGTTTGAGACATCACTCAGAGCCCCCAAAATAAATTTTGTGTTTGCCACATAGGCTGTATTTTAAGTCGGACTATTCTAAATATAGTCTCAGCGTTGCCTAAAAACCTTTTTAGCATTTTATCATGACTTTGTAAAAGATAAACTTACTTTTATTTGCATAAATTTATGAGAAACAAGCCCTGGCACCATGGAGAAATGCAAAGATTGCTCTTTACTACCATGATTTGTGTTAATACTAGTGGTAATGAAATGGCCACTAATAATTTAAAATTATATATAGTACTTTGTTAGCCCTCAATTAATTTGGGAGAGCTGTATCACAGTGGGGCAGTTGTATTAGATTCGAAGCAAGGGAATCCCTGAATTTAGTGTCACATGAGGGAAGAAAATGATACTGTTGCTATCTTCTTTCCTTTGCTGATCTCTAGTTTAGGAAAAATTCTTTTAGAAGTCTCTAAGATATATGAGTTCTAATAAAATCCTTTTTCCATCAACATTTTAAAAAATTAACACTTGCATTTTAAATGTTGTAAGCAGTCTGTTTTCACTTTGTGATTCTTTAGGGGATATTATTTATTCTACAAATATGAAATATATGTTGCATACCTACTGTGTGCCAAGCATTTTTCTAAGTTCTGGGAATAAACACAGCACTGAATATAAAAATCTCTCTCTTTATGGAGCTTATATTCATGTTGGAACAGAAAGTAAACACAATAAAAAAGTAAAATGTGGATAGTATACTAGATAGTGTTGTGTGCTTTGGAGAAAAATAAGCAGGAAGGGTCATAGGAAGTACTGGGGCCAAGTAGTAAGGGGATATTCTCTCAATAGCATGGTCAGGGAAGGCCTTACAGAAAATTATCATTTGAACAAAGTACCTGAAGCAAGCCAAAAGTGAAAGAGCAAGCCAGTGTTCCGGAGAAGACCCGTCCAGATAGGGAAAGCAGTGCAAAGGCCCTGAGGCAGAAACATATGTAGCAGGTTTGAGAAGTAGTATGAAGCCTAGTGTATTTGGAGTGGGGGGATAAGGGTGGGGAGGCAGTAGCAGATGAGGACAGAAATAATGGGGAAATGGATGGAATGTGTCCTTGTCAGACATTGTAGGGACTTTGACTTAACTACTGAGTGAGAACAGCTTCTGTTGGGGATTTTGATAGAAGCGTGACAAGATCTGCTGATCATATGAGCAGCAGTACACTGGTTGCTTTAGATGAGAAACCATAAGGAAGACAAGAGTTTGAAGAGGAGAAGTCAGGAGGCTCTTGCAGTAATCAAGATGAGACAGGACGTGAGGTTGGTGTCCAGGTCCTTAGGGCTTTCAGTGGTAATGTGGTGACAAGTGGCTGAATCTCTCACCCTTTTCTTGTTTGCTTTCTGGTTATTTTACTGTTTATCAGCACATCAACTAGAAAGTTGTTAATATAGAATAATTTTAAGTCATATTCATTGGCATCACTTCACATTTATTTATCTGACCATCCAGTTAGTTAGGAATTAGATGTATTGATTTTTGTAATGCATGTGTAGCCATCATACTAGTTGATTTGCAATTGATTTTAACTTGAACGTTTCATCATTCAGAAGGAGATTTGGATTATTACTGAAGGGAAATAATGTAATTTTTGGTCTTTGTGGTCCTTGAAATACTTCTGTCTCTTACTCATTCCAGGGTCTGCATCTTTGATGCATACCAGAGCAGTTGAAGTGCTTTATGCTGGGATCAGCAACCGAGTTTTTCCTCTTAAAGAACAAGCTCACCTATTTAAAGAATTCTAGACTTTCCCAACTTTTCAAGGAAATTGATTATTCTTTTGAAATTGAACAAAAAGGCTTCATGTGAACACTATAGTTGTTGCTAAATGATGAAACTGTTTCCTCATGACTTGGATTTCTCAGTTTTTGAAGTGTTGGCTTAATGCAATATGTATATGAGCTGAAGGAAATGAGTGATGATGATATCTTGGTAAAAGTTTGATCAGGCAGACTCAGTAAAAGATAGAAGGTAGGGTACAGGTTCCTCCAAGTGAATTAAATTTCCTTTTTGAACTCAAAAAAGGCGCTGGGGCCGCATAATGAAATTCTCGCTTAATATTTGGTCATGCAAAATTAAACTTCAAATGAAATTATAGTTTCACTCTGTGGCTTCACAAATCCTTGGGAAACAGAAATTGAATCTTTAGGTTCAACTTGAATATATTCCTGATTCCTTTTCAGCTGCAGGAAGTGAAATGTCTTCTCTCTCTCCTTCTGTGAAAGCCCAGCTTTTCATAGTCATGGAATTGCTCACTTCAAAGCATGCTGCTGCTATTGTTTGGTTGATTATTGATAAGGGGTTGTCTCTCACCCAATGTCTCCTTCACATTACTTTGGTACTTTGCAAATATTTTGAAGTCAATAGAACCAGATTTTATATCTTTACTGTATGTTTTATAAACTACTCTTCCATTTTAACCTAGTCAATCCCTTCTGATTTGTTCTCCTAGAATGAGAGACTACAGGCATTGCTTGGAGATAATGAAAAGATGAATTTGTCAGATGTGGAACTTATACCATTGCCTTTAGAGCCCCAAGTGAAAATTAGAGGAATAATTCCAGAAACAGCCACTCTATTTAAGGTAATTGTGGTGAATCTTTGACATGTATGATTGGAACCCAATTCTTTAAAGTCAGATCAGAGACACCATCTTGAAAAATTATTATATTGCAGATATCTAGAATTCTATTTAATTTAGTAAATGCTAGATAAATGGTATGTTTTATCTATCAGTGTAGTTTATTTTAGGGTCTTTGTATGTTACCAGTACATGGGTATTTTTTATAAAATGTGTAAAATATTTGTGTGACTCCGGGTTGCTTTTTAATATTTAATTCTGTTCCAAACTAATTATTGATCAGAGCCACAGCTTTTTTATGTGTAAAATTACAAAACATATACATTTATTTTGTAGTCCAGATTATTAGATATGCATTCCAGTTGACCTTTTTTACATTTCTCAATCTGATATCTGTTCCTATGAACTTTAAGCTTTTTCTTGTATCTTCAAATAGCAATTCTCTTTAGTTTATAGTGGCATACCAAGCTTGGTGTACTTCTTTTGGTTGGCCACCAAAGAAGCAGCTGAGGGAGCTGCCTTCTTTAGTCAGGCTAAAGGGACAAAGAACTGAGCATTATCCAGGAGGGATCATACGGAAAAATTGTTGTGAGACATGGTGTTTTAGGTTTCATGATTCTAATAATGGAAGGTCATAAGTTGCATTGAACATTACTTTGCATCAGATAAGAAAGTGCTCCTAGAATAACTAATGTATATGAAAAGAGATATAGTTACAGTAGCATATAGTTCATATTTTTTAAGGAAGTGTGTTTTAAGGCAACTGTTAGAGCCCATCTCATACAACTGAAGCATAATTTTTGTCAAGTATTACTAAACCTTACTGCATGTTATAGACTGTCTCTATTCTTTTAAAAATTCTTCTATTTCTTTAATTTTTAAATGTTGCTTACAACCTGTTTTATTGGTTTTAAATTTCATTTATAGATTGCAGCCTGCAATTTGATAATACTGGTATAGGCAATACAAAGTACATATTTCTTAGTTTGTGCTTACAATCTACCTGGGCTGAAATAGAATGAAATGTAAATATATACAAGACTATACACATGCAACAACTGGCATTCCTTTGGACTAGAACTCCCAAAGAGGACAAGCTTATAATGTTCTTGTACTTTAGGACTAGTCAAGAGCAGTGAATTAAAACGGTAGTTTTACTTTTTTTTTGAACAGGCTGAAAAAGAATATAACATAGAGCAGGGATAGTAGAGTGTAAGAATATCTACCTGCCACTGTTTTTAAATAAATTCTAGACCTGTTTTCTCTTTAACTGTAAAGTATTATAATTGTACCTTATATAAAGGAAGTAAATGTTCAATAAAACAGCTTGAGATATATATATAGTGAGTTGGAGTCTCACTCTGTCCCCCAGACTGGAGTGCTGTGGCCGCTCCTGGCCACCCAGCCTCAACCTGCTGGGCTCCAGCGATCCTTCTGCCTCAGTCTTCCAAGTACATGGAACTATAGGCGCGCACTACCACGCCTGGCTAATTTTTTGATTTTATTGTAGAGATGAGGTCTCGCCAAATTGCCCAGGCGGGTCTCGAGCCCGCGGGCTCAGGCAATCCACTCACCTTGGCCTCCCAATGCGCGGGATTACGGGCTGAGCCACCGAGCGCAGTGAGAAATATTTTTGAGCGCGGCGAGAAATATTTTTGATCTGAATTTTTAGTTTTGATTATTTTTCTTTTAGCCTCTAAATATGTGGGTGTTCTTAAAAATGTTGAGTTGAGCCGGGTTTGGTGGCTCAGCCTGTAATCCCGCACCTTTGGGAGGCTGAAGTGAGTGGA